CCTAAGTTGCAATGCTGTGCTACTTAGTACAAGAACTTATCACCTCCATCTTCAGGGTAATGACCAATGCCATAAAAATTTCAAATTCTGACACATTTACATCTGAAGAATGATTCCCATAGTCCCAGTTACCCACTCTACGAGCTGCACAGAAAGGATCTACAGACGCAAGAGAAACATGAATTGTTTGAACAAGATACGATATACCATAACCATGTCACATACTCAAAGAAGTACATCACTGACAAAAAGGAATAAATACACGACACAGAGGCAGTAGTAGTACAGAAACCTTGCATCAAAATGCATCTAAATGGATATAAAACATCTGCTACATAGTCTGTCTTTATATTTCATACTGGTAACATAATTTACATCCATTATATTCACAACTAACTTCTCTTAAGTCTCCACGTGAGTTGACAACAGTGAAGAAGTGCACGCAGTGAACAGGAGAAAGCACTTCTTCAGAGCGGCAGAATTGTGTCAGCATGTGATATGGGTAAGGACTGTCCGGGCATATGAGCGGCTAGGTAACGTTAACAGCACCATCACTACGAGTAGAGGGACACTGAAGCAACTACAATGATGGAAAAACTCGGAATGGCTGAGATTGTACCTTAGATTAGGTTACCACCGCTTCCTTCCACATTCTTATCAATCTATTACTTGCTGTCATCCTCTCATCTAATGCAATATAGTCTAGATACTGAATGCATCATTAAATAAACTATAAATAAATTAATAAATAATAGTTGGCAATATGGGGTAGTGAGGACTGTTCAATTTTTACAATGGCAGATTTATTTGGCATGTGGCGCATGTATATGTACATTATTATTTGTGTGGGGATATTAATTACACTTTACGAACAGCAGGCACTCAAAACAAATGCCTGTACATTTACTTTCATCACCTTATATGATTTTTTATCTCTGGGGAAATTTTGATTGCTGCCTAGTGGATTATTATTGTGTTTACTTGTAGGTGCAGGTTTTGGAGGAATTCATTACCTCCATCTTCAGAGCAGAAGTAAAATAAACTGGTATAAAGGTAGGTTGCACATGAAGGGTGGCCACTGGGAACAAAGAAACAGGCAGTGCCCTAAATAAGCAATGAACTTTCATGGAAGACACTGGAAGGGGTAACTTGCCCATTCCAACTGGCAACACCTGTTTGGGTCATGGGTTGCTGATGGTGTTGACCAGCCCAAACAAGAGCCACCACTACTGCAGCAAACATGGCCAATGCAAATGACGGTAGTCAACATATTGCCTGCTGTACCAGCTCCATTGAGGAAGTTCCACATCAAATGCTGTGACTCACATAACCTAGCCCCAACTCAACTTTACTCACGTCTACCATGAACACATAGGAACAAGTTCATCCGAAACATAGGTAACTACCTACAATAAGCAGCAGCATAACCCACAAGATAAAAATCCAAATTTTCACTGCTGTGAAAAATGCCAAGTCTCATAATGAAGCAGAAAGTTCATAAAAATAACACAGATGCTGTAAAGCCTTTATGAACTGAAACCTATGCAATTTCAAAAATCACAGAAGGTGAATGTCAACAAGGGTCACCAATTCTGTAATGACAATGAGAAATCTGATGTTGGTAGATATCACAGCTGCTGCTGTAAAATCAAGTCAATTGCAATGGTTCAACTGAAAATCATAAATGCTAGTAAGGTTTAGCATTTCCCTTGTGACTAACTACCTATGGCTTGCCCCGTGTACAGAGACGCAGTGTTGTGCTGGGATAAAAGTCTTCATTACAAGCATGTTTTGTTATAGAAGCGTTCATATGCTAGGAATGTCATGAAATGTTCATGTCCCTTCATTAACGGTATAAACACCCCTATACAACAAAGACGCAATTTTCACTAACATGTTTATTTATGGTACAAAAATGTTTTCAGATTCACGTACCAGTAAAACAGAAATGGGTTTTCCAACAATGCTTACTTCATGTCTCACACTGTACAGTGCAAATAACAGTCTGCAAATCTAGTGCTGATATGTCTAAACATGTTTATCCATTCTACAAAAATTAATGACAATGAACACAAACAACTGAAAATTATGCAGGACAGCAAAGAATATATGTTGTTAGAACCCTCCCACACTGTCGCAATGGTAAATAAAAGCAATCGTAACTGATTTACCCTGTGCACAATTCAATGACAACGCTCTCAGACAAGATTTTAAATTAAACCACTGGAATGTCATATTTGTCCAATTTTTAACAGACAGACAGTAACGGTAGATTAATTAAATGACTAGTATAGTTACTGTGTCAGAGTATACACCAACTCCTCATTATAACCATTCATGCAGACAAAATTAAGAAGGTCTAAAAGTAAATAAAACTTAATCTCCCAAGTCAAAATGTCAGTAGGCAAGTCGTCCTTTCACTTTTGCTTTATCTAGCTTCTCTTCATCTGCAAAATAGTGTAATGCTACTACTAACATATTTAGAAATAACACATTTTTTGTATTCTGTGAACCACTTCTTAAACATTACTTCATAGACTTATACCCTTAGAATCAAATCATCTTCAAAAATAAAGGGGATGAAAGTTATAAATTAGCAATTCAGTCTCATTATTATAACATTGTAATGGAATAGCTTAAAGAACATGACTAACAAATACATATTTCTACAAAACTACATAAAAATTAATATGCGGGAGAATACAGTACCTTCATTTAATAAATCTTCTCGAACAGGATTTGTAATCAGAAACTGATCAGTTAAGAATTGAAGAACTTTCAATCTATTCTCTACAGTGGTGAATGGATATTCAGCGGTGCATAAGATGTTTAAAGTACCAGAGTCAAAATCTTTGTCACTTTCCACATATGATCGCAAGACCTCTGGCCATGTCATGGCATCCACAAAGTATAATACAACATTCACACTATCTTTCTGATCCAATGGGCCAAAGTGAGTCTGCTGGGAATCTTCTTCCCGAAGCAATGCCTTCAGAAGCATAATGTGAATTTCTGCCAGAAGGATACTCTGATCTTCACACATAACAGCTGCACAGAATTCTTCAAACCTAAATGGTGACAAGCGTACTAAGGTTCTGAAGTGTCGCAAAACTTCATAAACACACAATGCTTGCATAATTAGATCTTTAGGAATCAGAAGGTCATCTGAGGATTTTGGCAATTCTAAGTATGGTATTTCACGGTTCTGAAGCCACAACGGTTCTGGGCTTGGAGGTCTATGTATTGCAAACTTTTTTGGGGTTCCACTTACTGTACTGAAACTTGAGAGTGAAAAGTCACTGTCACTTGATCCACCACCCTCAAGGCTTTCTTCTGATTCACTAT